AAATATCCTTCTCGATTCAGGATTCAACGCCAAACTCTCAGACTTTGGATTGGCCAGAGAAGGTCCAAAAGATGACCGTTCACACGTGACAACCGAAGTTATTGGTACACAAGGTTACGCAGCTCCAGAATATCTAGCTACAGGTTTCTCTTTACTCGTTGATTCACAATGTACACTTAACAAATAAAAACACGTAACACGGAAATTTCTAAAAGACTTTGGTTTGTTATGTCAGGTCATCTGACAACGAAATGTGACGTCTACAGCTTCGGTGTAGTCTTGCTAGAGATTCTCTCGGGACGTAGAGCCATAGACAAAAGCAGAGCCAGAGAAGAAGAAAACCTAGTGGAATGGGCGAAACCTTACTTGCGAGACAAGCGAAAAGTGTTTAGGATAATGGATACTAAGCTTGTGGGTCAGTACCCCCAGAAAGCAGCGTTTATGATGTCTTTCTTGGCCTTACAATGTATCGCAGAGGTTAAGGTTAGACCATCGATGCCTGAGGTTTTGTCTCTTCTTGAGAAAGTCCCGTATCCAAGACATAGAAAGAGTAGAAGCAAAGGTTGTACTACTAACTCTTCTTCTGTCTTCAAAACGGTTTCTTAGACACACTAAAGACAAAGTCTTCAACTACATTATATAATGTCTTATGTATTTAGACGTCTAAAGCATTAAAAATAATTTTGCTCTTTAACCATTATACTCAAAAAATTTGATGCCCTAAAACTTATATAATTTTCTTTTACAAATTTTAGCGACTAAAGTGGATGCTTCGTGAGCTCAGGGCAAGAGTGTCAGGACACACAAGTCTTGCTTGGCTTGGACCGTCTTTTTTGGAGGGGTATAGCTTTTTGTTTAGCTCACCAATAGCTTGTAATGAATTCGGAAAACAGAAATAAAAAGATGGCCATTTTTTATAATAAAGTTTCATCCATATATATATGAACATGTACATACAAATGTGTACTGTATTAGTAGTTTAGTACTAACTTTTACTCAACGTGATTGCATAGATATATCAAAGGTACTCAGAAGATATTTCAGTTCAATTTCTTCATAAATTATTAGAAGGTTCTCAGAGTAATCTTCAATGCTTGAAAGGCTGAAACCATAACATGTAATTTTTGTTTTGTCTTGATCTAATGATTTTACCTTTTAAATTGAGCTAATGACATTTGGTTATTTCAAAGCAGAAAGATTTTATTTTGTTTTTTATTTGATTCTGGAGCATGATTAAGGGCATCTCCATCAGTCAACCCCCAATGGGGTTTGCCACGTGGCGTTTTTTTTTTACTTAAAAAAAAAAAAATTCAACGAATTAGGATCCGCCACATGGTGAACTCCTCATGATCTGGTATCACCGTAGCAAGCTCACAAGACCCTGATTCATCACTATTTGCCTTGTAAACCGTGTGAACCTCCCCTTTAAATCCCTTTTGATCTCCTAATGGAGATGGCCTAAGAGTTCCGCTGTGCTTGCTCTACAGCCTAAACTCACCAACATGTTCTCATTGTCCAACGGTTCAACAGTAACTTTTTGTTTACTTACTAAATTGCAACTGGATGATCTGAATTTCTTGGAGCCCGAGTATTATTTTCGGTCCATTGGGCTTGACCTAGGTTCATGATTTAATCTTTTAAAAGACAAGCAATTACAGACGAACCAAACATGAAAACTCTAGAAAATACTCGGAGTAGTTTTTCTGTATGGAGTTCACAAACCTGAACTCTGAAATTATTATGTTTGCTCACCAAAGCTTTGAATTTAGAGAAATAACATATGATAGTACTAAAGTATATTTATTTTAAAAATATCCCATGATGAAAAAAATTCTAAAAAAAATAATTTTTAAAAACTAATAATTTATTTGATATATGAGTTTGAGTTTAGTGATTAAAGTTTAGGATTTAGTATTTAGATAGTGAATTTAGGATTTAGAGTAATTTAGTTATTTTAACATCTAATTTAGAGATTCTTTCATTATGTGCTATTTTGTTTTATATTTGGTACTATTTAAGAGGTTTATTTTGAATTTATTTACCCCACGAAAACAAAACAATTCCCTAAAGAAATAAAATTACAAGTTTACGGACAAGAAACGGTTACAACTTACGACACCAACACGAGGAAAGAGTAGTTGAAAGTAGGTTTGAATGAAACATAAACAAAAAAAAATACAAAATCAGTTGGTTCATCAACTCAAAATCTACCTTCACTTTTCTTACTTGTCTTATATTTCGCCTCCAAAACCCTTTTAAAACCACCAAACAAATCGTTCTCAATCAACAGACATTTGGTATCTTCTGCAACATGAAGTACTTCTGCGCTATATTCGTGTTCTTCATCGTTCTTGGACTCAATGCTACCGACGGCCACGATTGCAAGATCGTCCAGTTTATATTTGGGGACTCATTGTCTGATGTAGGCAACAATAGGAACCTCCCAAGGAGCTTAGCGCAGGCGAATCTGCCCTTTTACGGTATAGATTTTGGCAACGGTTTGCCTAATGGAAGGTTCACTAATGGCCGAACTGTTTCAGACATTATTGGTAAGTCATGTGTACATGCTGTATAACGAAGTGGTACATATCTTGTAAATTATTTTCTTTAACGTTTTATTTGAATATTCAGGTGATAAAATTGGGTTACCAAGACCAGTAGCATTTTTGGATCCGTCAATGAATGAAGATGTAATACTTGAAAATGGAGTGAACTATGCTTCCGGAGGTGGTGGAATCTTGAATGAAACTGGTGGATATTTCGTAAGTGTCAGCATTTTTATTTTTATTTGCGTAAAATAAAAGAATAAAATTCATAATTTGTTTTTTGGTGTGTTGTTTCTTTCATCTTGAAGATCCAGAGATTTTCTCTATGGAAGCAAATAGAGTTATTCCAAGGGACACAAGATGTGATTGTAGCAAAGATAGGGAAAAAAGAAGCCGACAAATTCTTCCAACAAGCTCGATACGTTGTCGCTTTAGGCAGCAATGACTTCATTAACAACTACTTGATGCCTGTCTATGGCGATTCTTGGAAGTACAATGATCAAACATTCGTTGACTACTTAATGGAAACACTTGATTCTCAACTCAGGGTTAGTATGAAATAAAACACTTAAGGGTGCATACGTTTATTTTTTATAAATCGACCGGTACATATTCTTTGTGCTATGATGTTTAGGTGTTGCATAGTTTGGGAGCGAGGAAGCTAATGGTGTTTGGGTTAGGACCAATGGGTTGTATCCCACTTCAAAGAGCTTTAAGCCTCGATGGTCAATGCCAAAACAAAGCGAGTAATCTTGCTAAGAGATTTAACAAAGCAGCCGCCACAATGCTCCAAGATCTTGAAACAAAGCTACCAAATGCAAGCTACAAGTTTGGTGAAGCCTATGACCTTGTCAACGACGTCATTACTAACCCACAAAAATACGGTATGTATATATTAACAAATGAAATCAAATATATTCAAAAATTGTCTAATTTTTATATGATCGTACTTTGTTTAAAAATAAGATGTTGTTTGATTGATATGTTAGATGAACAGAACAATAAAATAATTGGATAGCGAAATCATCGAATAGCAAAAGCACGTTTGTTCAATAGCGCTTTGCAGCTCAATAAAATGCTGAAATCTAGTTTTAATGTAGGGACTAATGGTGTTTCGTTTTATTCAATAGTGGAGTATATATCAAAATTATTATTTTGGAAACATTAATTAACTAATATAAATATAAAGACTTGATAAATGTAATGAATGGTTAAGGGACCCAAGTGGTTAAGCATGGCAAACCATGTTCTCACTTTTTGAAATGTGAAAAATAATATACAGCTCACCACCAATATTTATAAAAATCTCATTATTCACACACACAATTTAGTTTATAGAACCAAAAAACAAAATATCATATTTATGGTCATAAAATGCAACAAAAAAATTATTTAGTTTGGTTAATAGAAGTATATCATATTTATGTAGTACACTTATTTACATAAATGTTACCTTTTCTCTTAGTTAATTTCTATAATCATCGGATTAATTATCTTATTTATATGGTTTTGTGTGTGCAATCTATACACAGGATTCGACAACTCAGATTCGCCGTGTTGCTCGTTCTACAGAATCAGGCCGGCGCTGACATGTATTCCGGCGTCGACGTTGTGTAAAGACAGAAGTAAGTATGTGTTTTGGGATGAGTATCACCCCACCGATAAGGCCAACGAGCTCGTTGCTAATATTCTCATCAAAAGGTTTGATTTCATGCGTGCTGATGACGGTACTTCCGACGCTCCTTCTCCAGCCCCTGATCTTGCTCCTTCTCCCGACGATAACTAACTGATCGATGTCTTATGTAATGATTTTCGGTTTCTTTATGTTTTGTTGATCATGTTGTGGAGAGTTTCGTTTGTCTTTAATTTCAGTTACCTTTTTGGTTGGTGTAATAATGTTTTATTTCTGTAATCTCTTCATCTCTCTGTTGTATATGTTCATTCTAAAATGTGTCTTATAATAGTAAAGATATCATCATGAGTTGAGGTGGTTGTTGTGTCCACCACTGTCTCAGTGTCTCCACGAAATAAAAGGAAAACAAGAATAACGTGAACAGAACTAACTATAAAAGATAAATTAACCACGCGTCTGTGGTCATTTGGTGGGTACTATAAAGGACCCGAATTCGAATCCACACTACACCAAATTTCTATAACGTGTGGCCACCGAGGTTTTTACATTCTCTCTCCAGAAAATGGTTTACCATATAAAAAATAAATTAACGAACCATGACATTTTTAAAAGAGAAGAACATACATCGTGCTCTGCATACAAATCGAGAAATTGTCCAAATTTAAAATCAGTTCAAAAAATAATTACAGAGCAAAACCTTTTTTGTGTGTTCAGTGGATGACCTAACGTTTAGCTAAAGTTTATTTTGAAGTTGTTTAATTATATAAACTGAAAAGTGAACTTTTTTGACGTGGGCTTCATAAAGTTTGAGTCTCTAAAAAATATTTGATATCTTCATAAAGCCCTTTAGATTAGGATTACATCATGTTAAATCTTGATACATATCATATAACATAGTGAATATTACAATTTTTATAGGTGCTCTAAATTACAAGAAAATATAACTAGCAATCAGGACAATATGACCGAGGAGTGTGGCGGTTGTTAGGGCCTGACCCTGGATAATCGTTTATCTCCTCAACATTCATCAACCTCCGTGTCCTTGCTCTTCTCCTAGGACCGCTTTCAATTCTTCTCTAAATTCCAAAAAAAATCAAGAACAAGAATCAAGATTCAGAAGAGATTTGCTCACATTGAATGCGTGTGTGTATGTGTGGAGTAGATTCTTACCAGGTGGATAATCTCATTGAGTTTTTGTCCCTTGGTTTTAGAGTCTATTGGTTTCTCAGCTCCTGCAATAAGCAAGAAGTTAAAGCAATAAATAAACATAACAAAGAAGAAGAATCTTGAAGATGAGAGAAAAGTATTACAGACTTGGGGTAACTAGGACAGGCTTCAAGACGATCAAAAGAGACAGAAAAGCTAAAACCAAGAAAATTCGAAGTTGAAAGAGTTGTCTTCTTGCCATCTTAAAAGACAAAAGAAAAAACGTGTTCTGTTTCTGCTCTGTTTCTTCAAGCAAAGCTTTGTCTGGTTTATATAACAACCGTATGTGATCTTTCTTCGAAGATCAGGGTTTATCGTGAAAGAAGATATAGATATTAAAGTAGAGGAGATTGTGGAAATTTATCTCACTTTCTTTTGATATCTACCGTTGATTGTGGAAACAAGCCTTTTGAGTTGGAGACATCACATGATGCTCATCAAAATTAAACTCTTCTTTATACTAGTGTTGTATTTTATAACACATGCTGACATGCACACTGACACAAACGAATATCATGTATGCTGACATGTTGTATATACATAATATTAATATGTGCATGTAAGTCAATCTGGTTGCTGCAAAATAAAGAAACGTTAGTGGATTTTGACTGTATAAAAGCATTTTATATCTGCATTAATCAATGTTTAAAACATAATAATTATGTTTGGGCCTTTAAATTATTCTAATTGGGTCATACATGCCTTAACATTCATACACAAAGCCCATTCAGATCTGTTAAGTGTTAACGTCTCTCTAGTTGACCTAACTTTCGCCGCCTCTGTCTTTTAACTTTTATATTTAAAGCCATCACGTTTCTTTAGAGGCAGAGCAGAGTCGCTTCTCGTGAATCCCTCCCTATTCTTGTATCTCTTTTCTTTCTTTTTGTTTGTTTGATTCTTGAATGCCTGTGATGGTGTTAAATATACTTTGAGATTAGTCTCTAGGAAAACAAAACTACTCTGAGGCTATTTTGAATCCTGTTTTTCTCCTCTGGGTTAGTTTTCTTGTTTGAGAAGGTACTAGTGATTAGCTCTAAACTGTTTGGTTTTCAAGTTTTTCTGGTTCTTGTGCAAGTGACGATAAAAAGACAGGGACATCAGATTCTCCTTAGGGAGAAGTGTAATGATGATTATTAATGTCTAAATGGGAATCTCTCTGATGCACTTATGTTTTTTGAATCTTTGTCTTTAATGATTTGTTAGTTGCGCCTATGATGTATATCTATTGATGTGTTTTCATCAGATTTTTATAGTGATGAATGTAATCACAATTGTCACTACCTCTGAGGCATTTTATTTTCTCGTTTTTTACTTATATATAAAGCCTGGTGATTGCATCTAAGGACGGTGATATGATAGATTGTTGGTTTTGTTGCTGACAAATTGTAGATTGGGCTCCAAAAGAAATATCCAATGTAATCATTTTTCTTGTCTGTATATATCCTAATAAGAAAATATATGCCTTTGTTTCTTTAATATGTAATTATATCTGATAGGTGGGTTGGTTTGCTAGCTTGTTGCTGTTGGTTACGTTGCAAGGTTCGAATCCTGCTGAGATAACTTTTTTAGACTATAAAGATTGCCATATGATGGTTACTCTTTATATTATGGAGAATTGATTTTTTAGACTGTAAAGATTGCCATATGATGGTTACTCTTTATATTATGGAGAATTGATTTTTTAGACTGTAAAGATTGCCATATGATGGTTACTCTTTATATGGAGAATTGATTTTTTAGACTGTAAAATTGCCATATGATGGTTTGGTTTGCTAGCTTGTTACTGTTGGTTACGTTGCAAGGTTCGTATCCTGCTGAGATAACTTTTTTAGACTGTAAAGATTGCCATATGATGGTTACTCTTTATATTATGGAGAATTGATTTTTCTAGACTGTAAAATTGCCATATGATGGTTACTCTTTATATTATGGAGAATTGACTTTGTGGGTTAAATTGCAAAATCAAAACACCATATTGAGGATTTTTTTTTGGCAGAAAACCCAAAATCTATTGATATGAAAACCGATTGAAGAGAACAAATAATTATGAGTTATTATTCCCCATGTCTGAGATAAATCTAGAGCGTCAACATAATTAATAAGATTTTTGAAGTAGTGCTTTCTTCTTGTCCTATGTCTTACTCTTATTGTTGAGAATTCAATGTCGGGACTATATAACATTTAAGTCTATAGACAATGACGATACGAAGTTTGGAAAAATATAGTAATAATAATTAAATAGTCCAAAACAAGTATGGACCAGCGACGCGAAACCTATTCCCACGATGATAAATTTGCAGCTTAATTTAGAAATATTTTCCTCAAATGGCCAATCAGAAAGAGGAAACTATTTAACAGTACATGTACCCAGTACTTGGTAGGGGTGGGCATAGATACTATATCCGAATTTTTGAAAGTATTTGTGATTAGTTTTGCATATTACGGATATCTAGTTTTAGTATTTGCTTTGCTTCGACAAAATACAGATATCCAGAAAAACGGATATCTAGTAAATAAATAGATATTTGCGGATATTTACGAATATTTACGGATATCTCAACCGTTTTGATTAATACAAATAATCTTAAATTTTTTATATAAATTTATTTTGTAAAGTATGTTTTTCATGATTTATAAAATAAAAATTAAAAGATGTAATGAATTAAATATTTTGTAAACTTTTTAAGTTAAAGTTAACAATTATAATAACACAAAACTTAAGAATTTTTTTTATAATTTCCATAATTTTTTTCTCTTTTTGTGCAATACTTATATATAACTAATAATGTGAATATAATTGGTCAAATCATATGCTAGAATAATAATTATCTCATTTTATACATTTAAAATTTTAAATATAATCAAGATATAAATGTATTTATATATTTATGGATTTGTGTCAAAATAAAAAAAGATATTCTGGATCGGATCGGATATCCGCTTCCCAAAACTTTAATATTTGTGATTTGCTTTGATTTTAACGGATATTAATTTTTAGTATTTGCTTTGATTCGAAAGTTTACGGATATCCGGAATTTTTGGATCGAATCAAGACGAATAATAAATCGAATCAAATTTAACGAATAAAATGCCCAGCCCTAGTACTTAGTACTTTGGCACAAATTGTGTCAATACCAAAACAAATAGCACAGATTAAAGCAAAAACGTTCAAGAAGTAAACACTGAATCAAATGGAAATGAATACTCCTTTGTAAAACTAATACCACAGTGGATTAATTAAATCAAAGGTAAATCTTTAGATATCATAAAAAAATAATTTACTTGTCGTTGTAGAATAAAATTTTCGTTTTAAAATAAGTGTCATTTTATAATTTCAATGGAAAATTTATTAATTTTATCTACTATCATATTTTTCTATTAGTTGAAAAATGTTTAGGTGTATAGGTAAATGTGTTTTTTATCTCGAAAATATGTAAAATTAAAATTTTTCTTAATATGTGTGCAAAAACCTGAAATAACAACTAAAATGAATATAACAAATATAGATTCAGTGAAAACAATTTCCAACAACGCATTAATTGAAAAATAAAAATGATTAAATAACTCCAACTCTAAACTTTTATCATAACCACACTCCTAAATATTAAACCCTCATCATTAAATTCAAACTCAAATATAATAAAAATATGTTTAGTTCAATTAGCACATTGAAACTTGTCGTTGTACAGTAAAATTTTGTTTTAAAACAAGTGTTGTTTTATAATTTAAATGTAAAATTTATTAACTTTATATGTTATTTTATTTTCTATTGGTTAAAAAGTGTTAGGTATATAGGTAATTGTGTTTCTATCTTAAAAATATGAAAAATCAAATATTTTTTAATTTATGTGAAAAAAACTAAAACGACAGGTAAAATAAAACAGATGGAATATTTGAAAATTTCGATACCTAGTACTATTTTGGAATAAAAAAGTGTGTTTACTATTTTTATCAGGTATTTCTCTTAAATCAAAGCAAACAAATATGCTTAGTGCAATTTCAGATTAACCATGGCATATTTAAGGGATGTATAATAGAACACATATATATATATATATTCGAGTATGTATTTTTCATATATAAAGATCTTTTTTATCATTTGATAATTATCATGTTATTACAAACTATGAGGCATATTACAAACGATTTTATGGCTGACAATTTTACTTGCCTTATATGGAATCATGTATGACCATATCACTTGAGTCGTCCTATGTGATCTACGTTTGATTGTATTCCTTACGTCATGCTGCAGAGTTCCTGTTTGCATTTCTCCATTAACTCGTATAATTTCATATTTTCTGAGAATTGAAATTTAGATTTCCTTATGTATAATCATTAATAAATCATTAGTCAAACCATTGGACTAATGGAGCTTCCACCTATATATAAAGATCTGGTCGCTTACATAGGTGGGCTAGCTCACTTTCTAACTGAACAAATCTTAACCTTGCAATAAAAATGGAGTTTTAGGTAAAAAGTTATTGAGATATGGTGTTTTTGAATGTTTGATATTGATAGATCCACATGATATTATTATCTTTTAAATGTGTAGGATCTTATAATAATAAATTAAGTTCCAACAAAACACCATTATAACAGAACAGTCAATACCTAAAAGTAATATAGTATTTTATTGGCTTGTTTCATTGAAATGGCATGAAACCTTTCTCCGATATGCATGTCGCGCTCATAAGCATGTGCTAGAGGTTACAGCCAAAACTTAAAAACGTTTACCATCATGTCATCTATGCTAACTACTAAAAACACTTGGTTTCCTCATAAGCCTCTTTTCTCGTTAGTAACTCTGAACAAACCGATACAGAAAAAAAGAAATTCAAGATAGATCTTCTTGTGCAAGAGAGTGAATATCTAGGAACCGGTCAAGTTGGTCATCAGTCTCATGATAGAAATCAGACTGGTACAGATCGTAGGGCGCAACTAATGAGCAGTCATCAAAAGCAGCCACGAAGCCAGCCGTAGTCGTAGTAGAAGAATAAAAAAGCAACGCATCTAATGACGTTGTACTGATCAAATTATCATCAATCTCCATGAAACCATGCACTTCCTCCTCTTCCTTGCTGCTTATCATCAACTTATCTTCTTCAACGGCCTGTCTTGGTTCTGATAATATCACATTCTTAATCCTATCAAGTCCATGTTTTCTTGAGGAGATTAGAGCCGCAAGCCTGTTAAGTAGACGTGCAGAGCTTGTGGAGGAATAAGAGGAAGAACTAGAAGTCAGTGTTCGAGACGAAGTCGTTGAGGAGGAAGTGGCTTTGACGTTGACGATAGGCTCATGGGTCATGGGATCGATTCCACTTCTAACGAGTCTTTTCTTAAGACATGAGTGCCAATGATTCTTTATTCCATTGTCTGTTCGGTTAGGCATTTGCTTTGCTATTGCTGCCCACCTTATGTAATTATGCATAACTCATCAGTTTAACTATCCTTTTATTTTGTAACACCATCAGTTGAACTATTATCCATTCATAATAATTCTCAACAAAAAAAAAGGACTATCTCGTCATAATATAATTGATTGATTTAATATGACAAGACAGTGAAGAAACAAAAAAGATTTAGTATGACAAGATTAATGATAAAGTTAAAAAACAAAGGCGTTTGAGTTAGTTTGCATTTAACTACAAATTGATTACCTGTTTCCAAGAAGAGAATGAAATTTGATGATATCTTCTTCCTCTTCAGGAGTAAACTTGCTTCTTTTAATTCCAGGCCTCAAATAATTCAGCCACCTTAATCTACAACTCTTTCCACATCTTTGCAGACCTTTTCTCATTTTGGAAAAATAAATATATGCATATATTTATCAGAAAATGAGGCGAGATTATTACTTTAATATTGTGGGAAACAAAGAATTTACCAAAAAAAGAAGATATGACCTTTTCTTCCAATAACCAAAAAAGGGAGAAAACAGAATCACATAAAATTTCTGATTTTGTAAATGAGCACTTTCTAAGACTGAATATAATAATACATTATGATAAAAAGTAATCAGGACAATAAAAGCATCTGCATCGCAGTATGCTGAGCGTTTCTTATGGAGGAAAGCCCACGATTGTTAAAAAGTCGTGTTTTAAAGCATAATTAACTCCGATCTCTTAACCGCGGTTCTTAACTTATAATTTGATTCTTTTTTTTTTACATTTTTTGATTAAAAGATAATTTTTATATCTCTTATTTAAGAGATGGTTTTAGCTTTTCTTTAGTTAAAATCTACGATTAGCTAAAAACCGTCTCTTAACCGAAGCTAAGAATCTCAATTAAAAGACTAGGGTTAATCATGATCTAAAGTTGCAGAATAAAAACGTTTGTTGGGTGTATCTTGTATTGTTTTGCAGGCCCCACGACATGTGTCGATCCGCAATTGATTATATTTTTAATTTTTTTAAAAAAATTGAAAAAATAATAAAAAGAATTCCATGTGATTTTTTGGGATATTGATGCTCTGATTGGCTTTCATGGGTTCACATATTGCATTATGGGTGATATATCATCATATCAACACAATCTGGTTGAAGGTTCTACAAAAAAAATATTACCTACACAAAAAAATTGTAATGGCTTAATCACAGACATCTTTATTTTAAATTCACGTATCTATAATATACTCCAAAAAAACGAAAAAGCTTTTTAACATCTATATGTAGCTTCTAAAAAAAATGAACAAATGGATTTCTGTTTATTAATCTCTTCAGATGATGGAATATTTGACATGATCGAGAAAAAATAAAACCAAGAAAAAGACTCAAAGAAAATCTTTGGTCCGACAGAAGGGGGGGGAAGGCCCACGATGCAATATGTGTTGATATGATAATATATCACCCATAATGCAATATGTGAACCCATGAAAGCCAATTAGAGCATCAATATCCCAAAAATCCACATGAGATTATTATTTTTTCAATTTTTTTCTAAGAAAAAATTAAAAATATAACCAATTGTGGACCGTGTTTTAGAACATAATTAACCTCGGTCTCTTAATCGGGGTTCTTAACTCATAATTTGATTCTTTTTATTTTTACAGTTTTCGATTAAAAGACGATTTTTATATCTCTTATTTAAGAGACGGTTCTTAGCTTTTCTTAACTTAAAATATAAGATTAGCTAAAAACCGTCTCTTAAACGAAGCTAAAAATCCCAATTAAGAGTCTGAGGTTAATCATGGTCTAAAGTTGCATAATAAAAAAACGTTTGTTGGGTGTATTTCTATTGTTTTGCAGGCCCCACCACACTTGTCGGTTTGCAATTGCTTATATTTTTAACTTTTTAAAAAAATTGAAAAAAATAATAATAATAAGAAGCCCGTGTCGATTTTTGGGATATTGATGCTCTAATTGGCTTTCATGGGTTCACATATTGCATTATGGGTGATATATCATCATATCAACACAATCTGGTTGAAGGTTCTACAAAAAAAATATTACCTACACAAAAATTTTGTGATGGCTTATTACAGACATCCTTATTGTAAATTCACGTATCTATAATGTACTCCAAAAAAACGAAAAAGCTTTTTAACATCTATATATATGTATCTTCTAAAAAAATGAACAAATGGATTTCTGTTAATAAATCTCTTCAGATGATGGAATATTTGACATGATCGAGAAAAAATAAAACCAAGAAAAAAACACTCAAACCATGCTCAAAGAAAATCTTTGGTACGACAGAAACTGGAACTTTAGAGATCCTAGCTCTGAAAGCGACACAAACGTAGGTGATCCGTACACAATGTATGCATATATATATATATAGGGAGTAAGTATAGATTTATACCGGCTCTCTTAGGCAGGGTACGCCAGTCTCCGAACCCGTATTCGTTGATGTAAGCGACGAGCATCCTGTCTTCCTCCGCAGTCCACTCTCCTTTCTTCAAACCGTCGTCATCAAGCCAAGTCGTCCTCCCCATTTTATCTCCGGTGAACCAATCAGATTTCACAACCTATCTCAGATGATGATAATGATGACCTTAAGAAGAAGTGAATTATTGATCACTCTTAAGAGACTTTCAATTGTATGTGTGAGACTCTCTGACTGACACTCTCACTTAATATAGAAGTAGAATAGTCTGTTCTACAGTGAGGAGTGGGGATGTCTACGTTTTCATTTTTTAGTTTTCCTTAATATTTTATTTTAATTAAGGAACTTTTTTTATTTAATATAAATATGAATTATCGAAAATTTTATTTGATATTCTTCATAGTGTAATAATAACATATTGAATCATTGTAAAAAATAACTTCTAAGAAAATCTATATGGGTATAGTACGTCTTTAACCATTTTTTGTGGTCTCTTGTAAGTTAAATTTTTTTTCATTTTTTTTCTTTCCGGTTTCTCTATGATTTTATGTTATTTTGAATTAACCTTGACATCAAAAGTATTTACAAACATCAATCCAAGAGTACCATATATTATATATCACTTGCATAACAATTGCACCTCAATAAATGAACTAGTTCATAATGATTTTATTAAGTTTAGTTGTATCCCCCAACTACTTGGTTACAATAAAACATAATCACAGGTAAGAGATATACTTTGACGATGAGTTGTCTAAAATGACATCAGAAAACTCAGCCGACTTAGTATGATAAATGTTTGGTTCATGATCAGAATCCAGCTATGTTACTGAATTATCTTTAAAGGTTTACCCCTATTGAAAAACACACTTCTAGACATTAGGCTTATCCATGTTTAAGATTCTATTATAAATACATAAATAAACAGAATCAAATCGCTTTTAGAAGAACCAAAAGGTAACAAAAAAATATATAAAGCTATGAAAATTATTTAATCATGGAAAGTAAGTAGTTGTATTCGAAGATCATCGATCCATAAACTCGCTGACTACTGAAATGTCACAAAAACCTCGGACCATATATTTGGTTCGTTGATCCGTTTTCACATAGCGCTCATACGTTTGGTATTTTCCACTCTAAAGTTTATCATTGTTTGGCTATTTTCACCAAAAAGAAAGTATATGTTTGGATAGTCAACTTTTTAGTTATCATAGGAAGTATATGTTATACTTTCAACTTTAGTGGTTAATGTTTGTTAATTATTGAATTTTCAAAAGTTATTAGAATTTATGGTAATTCTGATGGCTATAGAGTATCCGCACTAGTATATAAAAATAAAAAAAAGTCTTTTGACAATAATATTATTAACTAATTGAAAAGTATGAGAGAAAAAAGGAAAAATATAGAAAATTGTCTCTCTGATAAAAGACTGATACAAAGTTGGGAGAGTACTAGCGGCTGTCACTGTCCCATTAGTTCAATTACTTTTTTGACATTAAAATTAAATTACATAATAAAATCATTCTAAAATACTAATATAGAAATAAGAAGAAAATTTTAATTGAGATAGGTTGCTCCTATAAACTGCTTAAGCATGGCCTAGACAATAGAAAAAGGTACATCTCAGCAAACTTCATGTAAGTATTCCTTAATTTAGTTTCAAAATAATATTATTTAAAAAGTTTCACATAATACTAAAAATAGTTAAATTTCTAGTTTTGCTGTTATTTCACTATTAGAGTTCTATAGCTTTTACTATTTTTAACCTAACAATGTGAAAAATAAAAAGGGAATGGATTTATTGAAATCTTAAAATGATAATTGACAAAAAAAATCTTAAAATGATATTTATGTTATAATGAAAATGTTATTCTAGAAAGATATTTAATCGGAAACGTGAATTGGCTACATTCACATTTACGGATTGCCACTATTTCTAATTTATGAAATGCGTAAAAGATAAGAAAATATCAAGAATGGAAATGGTCCCTCTCCTAGTTTTCACCTCTGATTTTGCGAACATTTTTGTGCTTTGATTTGATTTTGTATTGACATGGTTCGTAGTTTTCAAAATTTCCTATACAACGTCGAGATTTTATCGTTAGATTTATAATTATCTGCTATTTTAATACTAGCTAACAGAAAATCTATATTGAAAAAGAAAGAATCGAAAAAAATACCAACTTTAGGTTTCAAAAGTCAAGGTCGTGTAGTATATATGTATCTATATGCTTGTTATGTGTAGACACTGTTCTCTATCCTGGAGTCTTCTTTTGAAGTTGGACCACGTCTTAAATATATTTTGGTGCTTGTGGAGTGTATTGGGATGCTATAAGGTTCATGGGCTCCACGGTTTATGTGATTGGTTTTTCACTTCACGAAGGTGTGGTCTACATACTGTAGCTCTTGAACCCGTGTTTTCAGAAACGAGCATTCCTCTTCGCCAAAATATTTTACGTACGTTTAAGCTTCTAGAGATGGATGTTTCCAATATGCAAGTTACATGTATTTATTTTGAATATGTTACAAAAATAAATTCACATGATGCCAAGGTCGATCCTGAGAACTAAAGGATATAAGATGATTTCTTTAATGATTTCACCTAATCTGTTTTTCTATAGATTTGAAGGCCTAATTTTTTTTTTAGGAGTTTATAGACATGTAATTTTCTTCAAAATTTTTTTAAACCTACCCGAAGTTGCCAGTAACAACAAAAATAAAAGGAGAAAGACATGGTTGTGAGTGTTTAAATACTAAAAACTACGATAGACATCTCTACTTACAATACACTAAAACTTTTAATAAGTTATACATCAGTCAATCTACGTACACTACAAGAATTATTAAAAATAGCAAAGGATTGGCGAAGACACTTATGTAGCCATAACTACTATTAGCAAGGAAAGTTGCAACTGATAGCAGCGGAACAAAAAATTGTTAAGTTTGTAGCTAATCTGTAGCAATCT